TGAAAGTTATTACGGTATGCAAAGAATACATTTATTTTGCAATGAATATACTTAGCACGCATATCCTCTATTGTTTCAACAGAACAGCAGAAGTGAGTCGTAATGTTACATTATAAATGAAAACAGTGAAGCCACAACACATAACACAAACATGATGCGCAGTGGGCATTATACATGTATGTTTTGTCTTTGTGTTTAACATTTTTCCTTTGCAGTGCTACTGTATCATGTACTAATACTGAACTACAAGGACAACAAGCAATGTGTAGTACTGGTAAAAAAAAATACTCATTAACTCCATTAAACATTATACATACTCACCCGGTGTGGAGTAACTGGATCATGAAGAGAAACAAGTAAGGATTTGTGTTACTAATTTAATGTGTTTCAGTAAATGCCCTTAGTAACTGAGACTTGTCCAATAATTAGTCACTGCCTTTATGGCTTAGTGTTTAGACAAGGACAATAGACTTACTAGCAACTTTCCTCTACCTTACATATGTCCAAGTGTTGTGTGTCTTGTAACTCAAAACAGTCACAATAGAAATACAATATTAGCATGCAGCATTGTTGATCACTGTGGTGATGTATTGCTTGACTTGCTTCATACGTAGTGGACCTGCCAGTCCTGAAATAAGGACAAATAGATCTATACATGTATTATAATCTAGATCACTTCTTGTTTAAATTCCTTTTGTATTAATGGTATGAATCAAGAGTGGCCTTTTATATTATTATTGAAACATGCACTGATACCTCTTTCCTTTTTACTTTTATATAGATATGTTCAGTCCATCGTATATTACCTGATGTATATTTACACTGTAAAGGAGTAATGATTGCTGAGAGTAGGAAATGTGGAGGGAAGCTACGTCTGATGGATGCTAGGAAATTGTGTCGTATTGATGTAAATAAAACTAGAAAGATATATAATCATCTTGTGTCTAAAGAACTTGTACAACAACGTTAATGCATGTATTTATCATTGAATGGATTTGCAATGTAGTTTGGATTTACTATCCAAATTTGTAAGGTGGTTTCTCAGCTGGGTGCAGTGGCGTGTGCCTGTAACTGTAGCTACCTGCAGGGCTGAGGTCTGTAGATGGTTTGAGGTTGGGACTCCTGGGGGGTGCTGCTCTATGTTGAGCATGCTAGCAGATGCCCGCACTGGGTTTGGCATCAATATGGGTATTGCGGAGGAGTCCGGTGATGTCCAGGTTGTATAATGAGAACCGTATCGGCCCAGGCCCTAGCGGGAGCAGGCAAAAGGCTCCGTACTGAGTGGTAGTGGGATAACGTCTGTGAATTCATTCACCAGCCTGGCCAATAATTAATCAGACCAAACTTTTTTGTTTCTTTTTTTTTCTTCTAGTAAAACTTTATTTCAAAAATCGTATATGTTACGTAGTCTATAATATCTATGGCATAATCAATATGTCAGTGTTTATTTATGGATACGGGTGTGTGGGTGTAGGTACATATCTAAATTGGATGAAGTCCACTGAGTTAACAGAGGAGAAAGCAATAAAAACACTAATAATGTCAGCTGCTGTGCTACAGATTTAAATGATTGAATTATTTTAATAAAAATTACAATTAACAAACATAATTAAAACATAACGTGGGCGAAATGTCTGTGGTTCACAACTTCCGTTTGAGCATTAAGGAGGAGTGTGTGCTTGGTATAAAACCATCAGTGACAGCCAATCTGTTTAGAAAATAGAAATGATATTTTTACGGTTACTTGTAATATTCCTGGGAAGAGTAAGAGCTTTAATGGAGCAAGTGGCAGCTCGAGCTCCAGTGCAGGAGAGCACTAGAGGAGCAGCAACCTCACCCGCCGTTATTGTTGCTGGTGATATTCTCTGGTACATGAGGGACCCGCCACCAGATGCTCACTGTCAGTTCTTAGTGCAATCTGAGCAAGAGACCAGCTACTGTTACAGAAAATGTGAAATGGTTAGTGCAAAGTAAATAATTGCCACATGATGTGCACTTCATAGAATGCCATAGTCTCGCTAGCATGGGCTGGCAGCCTCATTTTATAGTAGTCTATTTCATGTAGGTTACATCTCAGCACACCCTGGGAAGAGTAAGAGCTTTAATGGAGCAAGTGGCGGCTCCCCCTCGAGCTCCAGTGCAGGAGAGCGCTAGAGGAGCAGCAACCTCACCCGCCGTTATTGTTGCTGGTGATATTCTCTGGTACATGAGGGACCCGCCACCAGATGCTCACTGTCAGTTCTTAGTGCAATCTGAGCAAGAGGCCAGCTACTGTTACAGAAAAAGTGAAATGGTTAGTGCAAAGTAAATAATTGCCACATGATGTACACTTCATAGAATGCCATAGTCTCGCTAGCATGGGCTGGCAGCCTCATTT